TCCAATTCCAACCCTCCTTCCTTCCCTTCTCCCCTCCCTGGTAAGCAATCTGATATAGGGTATACATGTGTAATCATGTAAAACATTTCCATATTAGTCATTTTGTGTTAGAAGACAAAGAAAAAAGGAAAGAAGGAAGGAAGGAAGGAAGGAAGGAAGGAAGGAAGGAAGGAAGGAAGGAAGGAAGGAAGGAAGGAAGGAAGGAAGGAAAGAAGGAAGGAAAGAAAGAAAGAAAGAAGGAAAGCAGTATAGTAAAATCCGTATTCAGACAACAACAATTCTTTCTCTGGAGGCAGATAGCATTTTTCATCGTGAGTCCTTTGGGACTGTCTTGGTTCACGTATTCTGAGTATAGTTAAGTCATTCACAGTTCTTCATCATAAAATTTTGCTGTTAAAGTATAAAACGTTCTCCTCATTCTGCTTTTCACTTTGTATCAGTTCACATAAACGTCTTTCCAGGTTTTTCTGAAATTATCCTGCTTGTAATTTCTTACAGAATACTAATATTCCATTACAATCACATACCACAACTTGTTCAGTCATTCTTCAATTGATAGACATCCCTCAAGTTCCAATTCTTTGCCACCACAAAAAGAGCTGCTATAAGTACTTTTGTACAAATAGATTTTTCCCCTTTCTTTTAATCTCTCCAGTATAAAGACCTAGCAGTGGTATTGCTAGATCAAAGGGCAGTTCCAAATTGTTCTCCAGAATGACTGGATCAATTTACAACTCCACCAACAGTGCATTAGTGTCCCAGTTTTCCCATATCCCCTTCAATATTTAAAATTTTCCTTTTTTTTCATATTAGTCAATCTGATAGGTATGAGGTGGTACCTTAAAGTTGTTGTGATCTGCATTTCTGTAATCAATAATGATTATTACAAATTAATTAAAATATTAATTGCTCATGGGTAGACTGAGCCAATATAATACAATGACAATTATCCCTAAATTAATCCACTTATTCAGTGTCATACTAACCAAAATACCAAAAAATCATTCTATAAAGCTAGAAAAAATAATAACAAAATTCATCTGAAAGAAGAAAAGTCAAGAATATCAAGGGAATCAATGGAAAAAAAAATGTAAAGAAAAATAGCTTAGCTATACCAGAACTCAAACTGTATTATAAAGTAGTAATTATCAAAACAAGCTGGTACTAGCTAAGACATAAAGTGATGGATCAGTGGAATAGATTAGGTGCACAATAAAATGTAGTAAATGATCATAGTAATCTAGTGTTTGACAAATCCAAAGAACCAAGCTTTTGGGAGAAAAACTCATTATTTGACAAAAATGTAGGGAAAACTGGAAAACAACACATTAGAAACTAGGTATAGACTAACATCTCACACCACATACCAAGATAAGGTCAAAATGGGTATGTGATAGACACAGAAAAGCTGATGTCATAAATCAGAAATTAACATCATCTCTGTTGCATTATATTTTTATTTATTTTGTCAAACATCATCCAACTATATTTTAATATGGTTTGGACACACTCAGGAGTTTTGAGGCTACTTACAGAAGTGAGTTGGACACTTCTGTCTTAGACTGTCTTATTTGACACTGGTTAAAAGCCAGAACAACTGACTAACTAAACAAAATACGTACACAAAATTCAGAAGGAAATAAACATAATTAGATCATCTCACAAAAAGAATAAAAGAGACATCTACTTGGGTATAGATTTTTTTTAATTGTTGGTTAAATTGGAAAAGTCTGGCAGAAATTTGGTTTCCACTTACATCTCACACCACATACCATACATGATCTAAATATAAGTCAGGTATTAAACATATTAGAAGAGACTGAGAACGAGACATCTTTTAAAACTCTGGAAATGTGAAGAAATCTTGACTAAATAAGGTATAGAGAAATTCACAAGACATAAAATGCCCCATTTTAATTATATTAAATTTTTAAAAATCACAAATAAAATCAATGATGTTAAAATTTGATATGACCTATGAACTTAAAAAAAAAAGGCTTTAGGCTCAGATTCTTAAAATCTAGCCACTGCTTAGTTTCTTACAATCTAACCAATAGCTCACTAACACTCAGACTCCTTAAGAGTCTGCCCAGTATGACAGATGTTCTAATAAACCTTGTCTTTGGCTGGAAAAAAAAAAAGTCTTTAAAGCACACTTCTCTATAAAGACGTGTTATCCACAATATATAGGAAATTTACTAAAATAAAAAAAAATCCTAGTAGATAAATGGTCAAAGATCAAAAGGCAGTTCTGAAAAGAACATCAAGTTATGAACTATATGAAAAACGTTGCAAATCATTAATAAATTAGATGCAAATTAAAATAACTCAGCACTCTGCAATTTGGAAAAGATAATAAAAAAGGGAAATGGCAATCTTGGGATATATGAGGGTACGCACAACATAACTGACCCATCTTGGTAGAGCTGTGAATTGATTTAACAAACTTCAAACACAATTTGGAACTAAAAGTGAAAAGTTACTAGTGCTTGTATGTCCTTGGATACAGTAAAACCACTCCTAGGTCTCATACTCCAAAGAGATCAAAGGAAGTGAGAAAATATCTTTATACACAAAAATACTCCTAGCAGGATTTGTGTTGAAGCAACCAAAAAAAAAAAAAGGCACCTAAGGGAGTTCCCATCAATTAGGGAATATCTGAAGAAATCCTGGTTTATAGATGTAAAAGAACAATAGAATGCCACAAGAAATCAAGGAATGCAGTTTGTCCTCAAGCATTCAGAAAGCACTTACTCAGGCCATGTGCTAAGGACACAAAGAAAGGAAAACCTTGTCTGTAACCTCAAGGGTTCAAATTCTAACAGGGGAGGCAGTATGTAAATGATGATCCATGCTGGATATATCAGTCAGTAAACATTTATCAGGAGCCTACTATCCCGGCCATGCAAATAAAGGCAAAAGACAGGCCCTGCCCTCAAGGAGCTCACACTCAGATGGAAGAAAACACAAAAGAAGGAGTTGAAAAGGCGATAGTTGGAGAAAGAAGATACCTGAGGGAAGGGATGAGCAGATGGAGGAGTCCAGAGCAGTGGGGTGGAGTTGGAGGTGAGGAGATTGCTGACCTGGGGGCCCTCCTGCAAAGGGGGTTCTTAGAGAAGCACCCCACCTTCTAATCAGGGAGCCCCAGGGGCATAAGTTGCAGAGGAGGTATATACAGTATGAATGAAAGTTAAGTTCAGACTGAGAAATCCCTCGTGCAGAAGGTGGGCCTTGATAATGCAAAGCAAGTATGTAGAACCAGCATAGCGAGCTCCACACTGCTTACAACAGCTGAGACTTTGAAAGACTCCAGAACTCTCCTCACTACAAGGACCAAGCGAGACTCTAGGTGACCGAGGAGGATGGATGCTTCCCACCTTTGGCGAGACACGTCTTGAGATCTCAAATGAGATGGCATAGTGGTCATTTTTTTTTTTTTTTGCTTTACTCTGCTTTTTCTTTTTCCCAAAAATAATGATATTGATAAATTGTGGTTTTGTATAAATTAAATTCCCCTGTCCGCATCCCCCTCCCAGAGGGCCGGTCTTTATGTCCAGAAATATAGATTTGTAGATATTTATATGTGTATGTGCATATACAGGGATATAAATGTTAACAGAAGATATAGATAAGGGGATGGAGAGAGAGAAAGAGGGACGTGGAGGGAGCCGCAGAGATAGAGATAGATATAGTAATGGTTACATAGATACAAATATGGATATGGTTTGAGATAGAACTGTGGATATAGCTACAGGTATGTGGATATACATGCATATATGCATACACGTGTGTGCGCGTGTGTGTGCGTGTGTGTGTGTGTGTGTGGTTTTGGATGCTGTTGCTTGGTCATTTCACTCGCGTCCATCTCTTCATGACCCCTTGGCAGGGGAGGTTTCTTTGTAGAGATACTGCAGTGATTTGTCATTTGCTTCTCCAGCTCTTTTTACAGATGAGGAAACTGAAGCAAACAGGGTGAAGTGAGTTCCTCAGAGTCACACAGCTAATACGTGTCTGAGGCCGGATTTGAACTGAAATCTTCCTGACCACAGGCCTGGTATTCTATCCATCACACCACCTAACTGCCATATTTATAGATACAGATGTGGAACATGGATATGTTTAGAAACATAAGGGTAGGGGCACAGATATAGATTATGTATTGATATATAGCTATCAATATTAATCTGTCCCTTCAACAATCCTCTTACCCAGTTGAGTAAATTTTAAAAAGGAGAAGGAAGAGAGGAAGGAAAAGGAGGAGAAAGAAAAGATAAATAAGAGGAAGAGGAAAAAGAAGGAGGAGGAGGAGCAGGAGAAATGGAAAATAAAGTCCTCAATATATCGATGCATAGTCTGATAAAAGAAATCCCCATGCTAGTAACAGGACTCTGCTTATTATCAGGTAGGACTTTTTTTTTTAATCTTTTATATTAATTGTGATGTCAAAAAAGATAAAAGAGAAGACAAGAGCATTACTTTTTAAGATAATGAACTTTTTCCATACTAAAATAACAAGCCACTCTTGATAGAGATTTAATATGTAAGCCCTTTCTATCTTGTATATATGAAAACACCTGTAATTTTTTGTCAAATTAACAATAATAATGATGATACAAGCTACCTAAGGACACGCCAGGGATGCTTTGTTTGTGAATTTCTCTCTCTCGGGCCCCCAGCACTAGGCCTTTCACCCAGGGGTCCAACAAAGTCTCGTTAAATAGAATTAAATGGAATTAATCCCATCCTTTTCTCCTCCTCTGTTCTCACTGGTCTGAAGCTATGTTCTTTTAGGTCCAACTAGATTTCTTTGGGCCAGAAACTTTGAATAACTTTCATAGTTTCTATAAAACTATTAATAACTTTCTCAATAAATTATGATTCCTTGTATGATTTATTAAAATATCTTTAGAGTATACATAATTTCAGTATATCATTCAAAACTGAAGTCACTGTGATCTAACTGCTTCATTTATATATGGCAGCCAAAACCAGATGCTCACCTTTATCACCTTTGGAGTGATATCACAGAAAAGCCGTTTGTTAAGCGCTTTGAATCTTTCCGGAAGCATAAAATTCTCAATTACTTCTTCATCAGAAATCACATACCGGTCCAGGATCTTGAGTGACCATATACTATTGACCATCACGCGTCTATAACCTTTTTTTAGGCTCACTGGACAGTCATACAGAGTGAGGGCAATGAGGTTTGGGCAGGCGGATAGCGAACACATATTCTTTAGTTTTACAAATGAATTATCGTGAAGATAGAGAAGTTTTAATTTCTTCATTTCACCCCAAAATTTCTTATCCGGCACAATTCTTATCTGAAATAAAATTGAAATACAAAACTTGAAATTAATTTAATAACATCTTTCCTTTAAAATGCGTAAGAACAGTAATGCAGTGGCTTACAAAGTATTCATACTAGACTAGCCTATGTACATAGTTCAATAAAACCATGTTAATGAGAGCTTAGATAAACTGGATTATTTTATTTTAGAGGGTGCAAAGCAACTTGAGCCTATTCAAGACCACTTAAGGAAACCCAAAGACTAAAAAGGAGAAAAAATACAACTTTAGAAATTTTTCAGAAAGAATTTGTGTAAATTATAATCATTGAGAATATGCAAAGTTTGATCATTTCTGCCTATTAAAAGACTTTTGAATAGAATATTAGTACCAATTAAAAAGTGAGAAAATGGAGAAAAAATCAACAAACTTATCTCACCCTTTTTTTAACAGAGAATTTGAAAACAGAAATTTCATACACACACACGCGCGCGCGCGCACATGCGCGCAGGTTTAGATGGGGAAACAGAGGCACTACTAAATGTATTGAAAAACCATACTTCATTTCTTCATTAGAAATCCCCTTTCCAGCTCACATTTTTAGGGATCACACATAATCAAGAAGCATCTTACTGAGCGGCTACTCTGTGCCAAGCACCATGTTAGGTGCTGGGCCTACAAAGGCAGAAAGGAGGCAATCCCTGCCCTCCGGGAGCTTACCATCAAACCTGAGGGCAACCAGCTAAGGCCACAGTCTTGGAACATAGCACAGCATCTATATTGACCCTGATGTCAAAAGGCTGAATAGGGAGAGGGCATTGATAGAGTTTCTTTTATCAAGTGCTAAAATTTACAGATGATACACCTGTGAAATCCTAACTTTTTAAAGGCAAAAACTATTTTTCTAAATAAATGGTCCAGTTGTTTGTTTTTTTTTCTTTCAATTGTTCCTGGAAGAGCATCCCATGAGCTAAAATACCTGCTTCTCTGAATGTTTTAGCAAAGTAACAACAACATGGAAGAGAGTCTGTGGTCCTTCCGTAAAAAGAGAATCTTGGAAAACTGAATCTCATTCCAAATATCAAATTAAGTAGATGGAGGCTAATTATCCCAAATGGACACACGGTAAGCAGTTATTTTTTTATATTATGTTTCGGTTACATAGAGAAAGAAAGTTATAGCAATGGCAGGCTTGAAGGCGATGTGAGAAAATTCAGAAGGCAATCTGACAAATGATATCGTACCTTTAAAACACAAAGGTATTGGGATGTACCATAGAGCCTCAGAGCAAAAAGGACAGAGGATGACCAGTGATCCAGAGCTCTGTGGAAGAGCTCTGGGGAATTGGGCTACAGTTCAGATCAGCATCCGGCTAGTGGACGCAGAGCCAAGGTGGGTGCTCGACCTCCATTCCACAGCATCCTGGGCTGAGAAGTGGAAGGGACCTCAGAGGCCACAGAGGTCAACTAAGTCACCCACCTCACTGGTAATGGGAGCCTCACATTCCCAAGCCAGCGCCCTTTTCATGGCATCCACTGCCTCCAAGGTAAGTACTTTGTGTAATCTACAAACGCCTGATGGGGCAGGTGTGGGAGGGACGCCCCAGGCCAGAGGACCTGGCTTTAAGACCTGCTTCTCACACATAGTGGCTGCATGACCCTGGAAGAGTGCCTGAAACTCTCAGTTTTCTGGGCAGCTTGTAGGAATATAGGTTGTAGAAAAAAGGGTCAACCTGAACTGGTAGGAGTTTTCTCATCCGGAAGTTCCACACTTCAATGAAATCACAGGCCCAGTCCCTATTCCTGTGAAAAATTAGGACAGGACAGGCTAGGACAGGTGAGGGGGGAGGGCAGGGGAGAGGCTTCAAACTTCTAAACAAACTTTTCATCCTACTTTTAAGTACAGAATTAAGGATTCAAAATTAAGTTACTACATACATTGTTCATCTAAAGATGAAATAATTAAAATGGTAATGGCCTAGAGTGACTTACATTTTAAAACAATTAATGTAAGGAATATTGAGCCATTAAACATACTGACATAGAAATTCTACTGAGCTAATAAGTGTTTACAAATATCCGCCTGAATTCGAGTTACCTGGTTGGAATGGAGATCCAATTTAATTAATTCTGTACATATCTGAAGTGGAGACATGTCTACAATAAAATTCTTGGACAAGATGCATATCCTGAGGGATCTGGAGCACTGGGAGGCCTCCAGGGCACATAAGTGTGATCGGTGGAGATACAGAAAAACGGAATCATTCTTGTCACTTAATTCATTTTCGCTGTTTTCTTCCCGTTCTTGGGACTTACCACTTCTTTCTAACTCTTCCATGGAACATCTGGGGGTGGGGGAGACAAGGACAAGTGCTTAGAGTTGATCTTTTTCCCCAACTTTCAAAAGGAAATACACTTACAAAATTTAACATTTTGCTTCTAAATAAATATGGCACAGCATTGGTTCTGCATGAATAATAATAATAATGATATACACAGTTAAAAGGGAAAGAATTAGGTTATAGTTAAGTAGACAGAAGGCATTTCATTACATAAAAGTAGCAGAGTAAAAAACATACTGACTTAAATTACCCAAAACCTAATATAATTAAATAAAAAAAAATTTCTGTCTTACCAATTAAATGAAATCAACTCGAGGACAGAAAAGGGAAACTCCATGTAATTAGAAAACAAGTTTAAGAATATTGGATTGAAATGAAACTGCTGGGAAATTTTAGGTCATACCTAGACAAGAAAACTATGAGGAAGGGAGGACTCCCCAGTAGCGTGAGCACCGCAGGGGTTCAGATGATCCCTCCTAGATGTGTCCAAGATGTGCCAGCACCACATGACTGAACACAAAAGCAGAGGCACTGGTCGATAATTTTTTCAATAAACTTATTCATTTACTGTTCACATTCTTCTTTAAAATTCTGAATTCTAAATTCTCTCCCTCTCTCCTATCCCTCCCTCACCCACTGTGAAGGTAAGCAAATGATACCAATGATACATGTGAAATCATGCGAAACATTTCCATCACAGCCATATCACAAAAAAGAAAATAAAAAGAAAGCAAGATCACTCGACTTCAACCTGCACTCAGTGTTGGTCAGTTCTCTGTCTGGAGGAGGCCTTTGGAATTGTCTCAGATCACTGCACTGATCAGAACAGCTGAGCCTTCCACAGCTGCTCATGGCGACGACATGGCTGTCACTGTGTGCCAGGGTCTCCTAGATCTTCTCCTTTATTTCCATCCGTTCACACAGGTCCCGCCATGTTTGTCTGAAACCACCAGGCCCTGTCACTTCTTACTGCCCAAAGTACTTCATCATAATCATATGCCACAACAGGCTTAGGAAACATCCCTTCAATTTCTAATTCTTTGTAACCACAAAAAGGGCTGCTCTAAATATTTTACTACATAGAGATCCTTTTCATTCTTCTCTGATATCTTTGGGATACAGACCTAGTAGTGGTATTGATGGGTCAAAGGGGACACAGTTTTATAGACATTGAGTTCCAAATTGGTCTCCAGAATGGTGGGACAAGTTCACAACTCCACCAACAATGCATTAGTGTACTATTTTCCTTCATCCCTTCTGGCATTTGTCATTTCTGGGAGGTGAGAAGTGTACCTCAGGGTTGTTTTAATTTGCATTTCTCTAATCAATAGTAATTTAGAGCATTTTTCTTCATATGACGATAGATAGCTTTGATTTCTTCCTCTGAAAACTGTTTGTCCATGTTCTTTGACCTTTTATCAATTGGAGAATGGTACTTATTTTTTATAAATTTGACTCAGTCCCTTATAAATTTGAGAAATGAGGCCTTATCAGAGAAACGACTTAAAAACTGACCCACACTCATGCCCTCTGTGTATGTAAACTCCTTCTAACTGCCCTAACAATAATGTTCTTATCATCTCCCCACATAAGTAGGAAATTTAAAAAAAGATCAAAGCATGAACATCGACAAAGAGAAGACACAACTGTTCCAATTTGCTGACAACTTGATGCTTTAACTAGAAAACTTCAGAGAATCAGTACAGAGAGTAACAGACACAAAAGCTTTAGCAAAGTAGGATGCAAAATACTTTGAAAAAAAATCAGCAGCATTTCTATATAGTTATAACAACATGCAGGAGGAAGTAATAGGAGGGGAGATCCCATTTAAATAACTTCAAAATATATAAAATATCTGGGAGTTAATCTACTGAGACTCTCACAGATTTATATGAATACAATTGCAAAGCAAACTGCACTGTGTCTCCTCTTGGCCAGTGTTCCTGCCTTTGTCTTTGTTTTTTCTTCTGCCTTGGGGTTATCTCTAGCATTTCTAGAATTACATGTAAGAACAGAGGGGAGAGGGGGATATTCTTGCTTTATTCTTGTATTCATTGAGAAAGCCTGGGTAAGTGTTTTTTCCCACTGCAAATGTATAAATAAATATATTTTTTATGTCAACATTTTATAGGCACGTTTTTGTTTTTTTGTTCTTTGTTTTTTTAGCATTAGTTACTATTGTACGCTGTCATAGGCTTTTCGTACATTAACCAAATTGGTCTTGGTGTGTTTTTAATATAATTGCCTATTATGTAAGTTGTCTCTGTGTATCTTATCTTCAAGGCTGGTTACTTTGGCTTATATAAAATTCATCTATTCTTTAAACAGTAGTGACTTTTGTTTCTCTTTCACCAATTTTTTCTCCACTCCAGAATTTTTATTTCCAATCTATTTGTTTCCCCATTAGAGCACCTATTTTCTTTGCAGAAATTCTTTATCCTTTCTTCAATTCTTCCTGCTTTGTAGTAGGTGTGTGTGTGTGTGTGTGTGTGTGTGCGTCTGTGTGTCTGTGTGTGTCTGTGTGTGATAATTTTGTATTGGGAGCTGATTTCTGACAGTCATTCATTTCCTTTAAATGGTTTATTTTTCTTTTGGAACTATTCTGGATTTTCCTGCTATTATTCTATGATCTCTGGGGGTTCCAGAGATTTCTCTTTTTCATTGTGTAATTATGCTTAATTTTCCATTAGAGTGTAAAGCTTGATCACTCTATTTTGGACTTTAACGTTTCATTCTTTCTTTTTTTTTCGGTTTTCGTGATCCTCTCTGGTGGTTTACCTCCTGGTGAGCTAGTTTGTGCTGCTTTTTTTTGTCTTGAATGTTTATTCTTTCACAATATCTCTCGTATCCCAAAGACCTTTCCTTAAGGTTTCCTCCTCAGTTTGTGGCGTCTTTTTCTCAGTGCCTTGTGCAGATAATCCCCAAGGCCCATCAGTAGGATGCTGAAAGCCTCCTGGTCCACAGAGCTGGCCCCAGCTAGGTTATCATTTACCTTTTCCTTTGGGCACTGATGGTCTCTTTCCCTCCGGCTGCCTCTGGGCAGCGGGCAGCTCCTGTCTTCCCTCTGCATGGAATCAGTTACCGGGCTGGTTCATTCCGCCTCTCCACGGCTCTCACATCCAAGCCTCTTCTCTACCGATCATTCAACCAAGTTCGTCCAAGCTCTCTTCACCTCTCACCTGTGGTACTGCAGTGGCTTCTTAACTGGTCTCCCTGCGTCCCATTTCTTCCTTCCTCCCCAATGGCTTCAAAATCGGTCGTCCTTCAGCACAAGTCTGTCCCTCTTCTCTTTGGCATGGAAGGCTCCAGCCCATCACTCTGGCCCGATGGGTCAGGATTCTCCTTCATGCCCTTCACATTCCAATCTAACGGGCCTATCCGCCTTTTTCTGGACACAAAACCCCCCATTCCACCCCTCCACCTTGACACTTTTACAAAGGCTTCTCCCCATGCAGAGAATGTTCTCCCTTCTCCCTCCTGTTCAGCAACCACAGCTCTCCTCAAGCCTGCTCTCAAGGTTCATGCCAGCAAGAGGCCTTTTCTGATTCACCAATTCCCAACAGTCTGTATTTATTTTTTGAATAGCTTGTATTTACTTACAGAATATAAGGACTTTATGGTCAGAACTTCTGGATTTGTTTCTGCAAGACCTTGTACACAGTCCTGGTATCCAGAGTCAGGACGAGCCGAGCTCAAATCCAGCTTCAGGTACTTGCTAGCTGGAAAATCACTCACCTGTAAAGTGGAGATAAAACGAGCACCTGCCTCCAAAGGCTGCTGCGATGCCGACAAGTGACAACATCATTGGGCGTTCCGTACACTGGACGCTGAACCCTACAAATGCTAGGTGTCGTGACCACATTGGCTGTTCAGTCGTGACTGATTCTTCATGACGTCGTGCACCACAGTGAGCCAATACTGTCCGCGGGGTTTTCTTGGCAAAGACACTGGAGTGGTTTGCCATTTCCTTCTCCAGTGGATTAAGGCAAACAGAGTTTGAGTGACTTGCCCAGGATCACCCAGCTAGTAACTGTTTGAGGCTGGATTTGAACCCAGGTCTTCCTGACTCGAGACCCAGCACTAGATCCACTGAGCCATCGAGCTGCCCCTTTATTATCATACAGTAGATGCTTAATAAATGCTCGCTGGTTTGGGGAATGGGGGTGTACTTTACTTTGTCACACCGCAGCCGAATCCCATTCCATTTTGTGCCTGATAGCGCGAACACTTGTTCGCCAGGGACAGAGATGCCAAACACCGCGGGCTTTGAAGATCACAAACAGCTGGATTTGGGCACTCCCGTGCCTGCTAAATGCGGATGTGTAAATGGCCAAGCTCCAAAGGAGATTGGGCAGAAGCACGACGGCCTTTCACAGACAGCACGAGGGCTGCAGTCACACCGCTGCCAGGAAGTCTCCCTTAATGCAACGTGTCCACAAGGACACACTGTGTCACTCTGACGTCATCTTGCACTTTTAACCACTGTGAAAACCAGGCCCGTGCGCAAGACGACGCTGCCCCTTGGGAGAATGTCAGCCTGGCTCCAAGAAGGAGTCCAGGACTCTGAAACGAATGAAGACGACGAGAACGATGGAAGAGCACAAATCCTCTGCGTGCACATTTAATTTAATTTGCTTCCCAGTGACAGAAGATGAAACATTTACTGAAGAAATTGCTTTGATGGCAATAGTAGGAAGACATGGCAGGCGTTCCCCGGGCCTCTTCAACAGGAGGAATGCTAACAAACGATCATCTAAAAATATAAATTTATTCATATAAATACTATTCTTCAAGGTTGATGTGCATTTAATTCAATTTACAAGTCAGACTTGTGGACTCTGACATCTAGAATTCAAAATATCACATCAGTCACTGAGGCTCTATACAGCAATCTCTGTCTCCTCTCCCCTCTGCCCCCCAAAAGGCCAACAGTAACCTCAGGGATCGCATGAAAAAAGGGGAAATCTCACAGACATTTAATTATAAAAGATAGCAGGGCGCATAGAAATATATTTTACACACATGTGAAATGATTCATATTTAGCATTATTGGCAACACAAGTAAAAAACATTTGTTAACTGTTTCCTTAAGTACAGAGCATGTTTCTCAATGCGAGGGAAGATAATGACAGTTATATATTTAATGAATCCCCTGTACAACCTAACGGAGAGGTAAGAAATACACCCAGGTGACTGCAGTACAAAATAACATCCTCAGAAGCATCAGATGCAGAGCAGTCAGCACAACGCCTGCGATGTAGTAGGTGCTCAATAATGTTTTACTGACTGACCGAAAAAGTAGTTGGAACTAGCCCTGCGATTTCATTGGCAGAGGAGAGCCCTGTCTTGACATCAGAGGTCCTTTTTAGTCCTAGAGACGTTAATAGGCACTGCCGGTAAGCATCAGAGGCAGATCTCAAACCCAGGGCCTCCTGGATCTGAGCCTGGGCTCCCTCTCATGACAGCATTCCATCTGGTGAGACAGCTGCTTCACTGTGGTCACCGATATTCTGGAAACAGAAGATGCCCCAATTTGACAAAACAAATAAATATCTCATACTGAGATCAGGCGAAAGGCTACTAGGAGGGTACAATTATTCTTTGAGTTTCTTAGTCAGAGAAGTAAAAATAGAAAATGATAAAATTTTAAAGTTAATATAAATAACTCCTAAATGATTTGAAATATTAGCTTTTCTAGACATATCCTGACTGCTTTCAGACAAATGATCTTTACAGAATCACTAAATTAAATTACATTCTATGTGGATAACACTATTAAAGTTAGACCCATAAATACAGACTTCACTCTCAGTCTGTATTCAAATGGTTCATAACTACAGGAAGGAAATTTATGTTTGAGATGTCACTACAATTCATTTTTCATCAGTTCCTCTCTTTTTGGAAAAATTTACTCTGTAAATTAGCAAAGTTTTATTGAAATATCTGTGTTCAGAGACTTGTGTAAAAGATACAATTATTTTCACTTCAATTTTTATTCAAACACGTGGACCGTAAAAACCACAAAACAGTGTCAAATACAAATTAATTCAA